CGGCGGCGGTGTGGTGGAGGCCGAGGGCGGCGGCGGCGCGTGGGCGAGGTAGAGGGCGGCGGCGGCATGGGAGAGGTGGAGGGCGGCGGAGGCGTGGGCGAGGTGGAGGGCGGCGGCGGCGTGAGCGGCGGCGGCGGCGGTGTGGGGGAGGTGGAGGGTGGCGGCGGCGCGGGCGAGGTGGAGGGCGGCGGCGGCGTGAGCGGCGGCGGCGGCAGTGTGTGGGAGGTGGAGGGCGGCGGCGGCGTGGGCGAGGTGGGGGGGCGGCGGCGGCGTGAGCGGCGGCGGCGGCGGTGTGGTGGAGGTGGAGGGCGGCGGAGGCGTGGGCGAGGTGGGGGGGTTGGCGGCGGCGTGAGCGGCGGCGGCGGCGGTGTGGAGGAGGTGGAGGGCGGCGGCGGCGTGAGCGGCGGCAGCGGCGGTGTGGGCGAGGTGGAGGGCGGCGGCGGCGTGAGCGGCGGCAGCGGCGGTGTGGGCGAGATGGAGGGCGGCGGAGGCGTGGGCGAGGTGGAGGGCTGCGGCGGCGTGAACGGCGGCGGCGGCGGTGGGGAGAAGGTGGAGGCTGGCGGCGGGGTGGGGGCGGCGGCGTGAGCGGCGGCGGCGGCGGTGTGGGCGAGGTGGAGGGCGGCGGAGGCGTGGGCGAGGTGGAGGGCGGCGGTGGCGTGAGCAGCGGCGGCGGTGGTGTGGGGAAGGTGGAGGGCGGCGGCGGCGTGAGCGAGGTGGAGGGCGGCGGTGGCGTGAGGGTGAGCAGCGGCGGCGGTAGACCAAAGAGAAGGAGCCTGAAGCGGCCAGGGCTAGCATGGCTACTAGCCTGAGACGTGGGGCAGCGAGGTCAGTCAGAAGCACCTGCGCAGCGCGATCTGGTCGTCAGGGACAACATCGTTCGCGCGGATCCATTCCTGGAGGAGCCAGCGAGTGCGCTCGTTGTTGCGCGGGATCACGTAGAATCCTGCATTCACCTATGGTGCCCGTGGGGGGAGCGGGCGGTGAGGGCACTTGTGAAGCGGCCCAGAAGTCGATCTCCCGGAGGTGTCCACCGGCATCTCGCGCATGAACAGGATGTCGCTGCTCAGATGATACACCTGCGGCGGCTGCAAGAGACTGCTTGTCGGACAGCCGATACCAGGACGCCCAGGGCCATACCAACTGTTGGTGAATTTTGGAGAGTTGTCGGGGGCGCAAGCCTTGTCGAGCAGAGCTGAGTATGGCCGCAGCGGAATCACATCGAGGTCGCTGAACAGGACGGCCTCGGCGTCGGCGCTCGGCCGACCAAGCACGCTGCTCACCCAGGCCAGCCGCGCCTTCCACAACGCACCCCTGTCGGGGCTGGCCACCTTTGAGGCGTTGTGGGCGTGAAGCCGCAGCCGCACGGCGTAGGAGGTGGTTGTGTCGCGCGTGGCCATTGCAGAGAGCCACTGGAGCCAGCAGGCGAGTGCGGCGGCCGACTCTTTAGTCGCGAACCCGAGGAGCTGGACTACCATACAGGAGGGACGCGCGAGTTTCGCGGGGGGCAGCCCGAGTTTGAAATTGAATTCCTTCCCAAAAGAATTTACAACCAGAACGATCAACGAAAAGAACTCTCTCTCTCTCTCTCACCGACACAGGAAGAATATCAATCAATCAAAAGAATGGTACCCCGTACTGGCTGGCGCCATCGGAACAAACTACGGGGTGTGGAGGGTGAGTTGACCAAGGGGTTGTGCGCCGGGCCCTCCTGCCTGCCGAGGGCAGCTTTCAGGAGCCGTCTGCTCCCCAAGCAAGTAGCAGAGCTGCACCGCGCGCTCACCACATCCACGAAAACCAGCCCTTCTCCTCCTCCTCCTCCTCGACGCTCACCTTGACGTCCATGGCACCGTCCCGTGCCACGCCGCCCGTCGCAATCGTCGCCGGGATCTGCGACGCGGCCGCGCTGCTCCCCGCGCCGGCGCTCCCTCCGTCGCTCCCTCCGGCGCTCCCTCCGGCGCTCCCTCCGGCGCTCCCTCCGGCGCTCCCTCCGGCGCTCCCTCCGGCGCTCCCTCCGGCGCTCACGGGAGGCGACGTGTTCGACGTGGCTCGCTGCTTGCCACGCGCCTTGGCCGACAGGACCGGCTGCGCGTTGGCGGCCGTCGGTGCGCCGCTCACGCCGGCAGCTGCCCCGGGGGTTGCTAGCTCCTCTAGCATGGCTACATGCAACACGTGGTTCTCGGCGGCGCCTGCGCCCTCGCTCTGCCGGCGACTCTGGTCCGCATCCGAGCCCTCGCTCTGCTTGCCACTCCGGCGAGCGCTCCTCGGCGACTCTGCGTGGAACTCTGCGAGCCATCGGCGAAGATGGCGACTCACAGAGGCCTCGCTGCGAGCGCTCTCGCTGCGAGCGCTCTCGCCGCTGCGAGCGCTCTCGCGGCTGCGAGCGCTTCGCCGCGACCACGTGTTGTTCCATTTGTTCCAACTGTAACCACTCTGCCAGCTTAGGCGACTCTGGTCCGGATCCGAGCGCTCGCTCTGCCGGCCACTATCCCGATCGCTCTGGCCATATCTGTTCCAGCTCTGCCGGCCACTAGCCCGATCGCTCTGGCCATATCTGTTCCAGCTTCGGCGACTCTGGCTATCCCGGGATTCGCCTTGCTGGAGCGGGCGCCGCCGAACGAGCCGTGCCACCGACATGAAGTGGAGGAGCTGCTTCTGCTTCCGCCAGAGCAGTCCCGCATCGCACGGCGCGGCTCCCATCCGGCGCAGCACGTGGCGCAGGCTCACCTTCCGGTGCTCGGGCGAGCCGTAGAGGGGTATGGCGAGCGCGTTGTAGAGGCTGTAGGGAGGCTGCAGCAGCACTTGCGGCGTCTGCCCTTGAAAGAAAGTGGAGAAGGGGCAGCCTCCGAGGGTGGGCGTCTGCTCGTGCACCATCGCGATCGTGATTTTCCGGTCCATTGCCGCCTGCACCAGCCGCGCGACGGTGCCGTCTTGGTCGTACCACAGGCGGTCCGTCATGTAGAGCAGGAGCACGTGACGAGAATCGTCGACGAGATTCTCGAGCGCGTCGTCCGCCTCGCGGATGGCCACGACGCCGTCCTTGGCTACCTTTGGCGCCAGCGCGCGCCCCGTCTTGGCCGCCTCCTGGACCTCCTCCGCCACGGACCAGGCGCCGTCGTTGTCGCGGCACACGAGGATGGTGACGGGGCCGACAAAGGCGTACGGAGGAACCTCCCCCGGCACCATCGCGCCCGCGGTGAGGATATTGGGGCTTCTCATGTAGTACGGGGAGTGTCTCAGCATGCGCAGCGCGATGGACTTGAGCGACTCGAGCTGGAAGGCTTTCACCCGCACCCACAGGATCGGGTCCTCCTTTTCAAAGATACGGAACACCATCTCGGCCGGCCCTAAGTAGGAGGGGTAAGTGCCCAATCCGGCGTCGTCGACGCAGTGCGCGCGGCACTCGGCCTTGAGCACCTCGAGCGCTGCGCCGCCCTTCTCGACATCGGCCTCGTGAATCGGGATGAAGGGCCGGTCCAAGGCGAGGCCCGCGTAGAGCTCGCGGCGGCAGTTGCGGCTTTTGAAGTAGCCCACTGACAGAAAGACGAGGAAGGTGGTGGCGTCGGCGACCGACTCCTCGAGGGCTCCGAGGTTCTTCAGGCAATCCACATCCAGCCAGATCCTCGCCTCGGGCAGCAGCAGCTTCATCTGCCGAACGATGGTGTGCGTCTGGTCTTGCCCCGTGGACCAGATGTGGCTGATGAAGCCGTGGAAGTGGCACTTCTTGGACAGGTCCATCACCGGGGGGCGTCTGTTCGAGAGAAGCCGGATGGTGGGCGCGCGGATGGCGCTGATGGACTTTAAGACGACGAGGACAAGCGACACGGCGAGCGTCGTTACGGTGAGCACGATGACAAACGCGCTCGCGCCGCGCGCGCTCGGGAAGCCCACGAGCGTGTCGCACATGTCCTCG